GAAGCCAATCAGCTGGCCTCACGGACCCCGCTGCGTGCTGGGCGGCCCTCTGAAGCGCGCGGATTGGCCGGCGCCGCTCAGCCAATCCGGACGCGCCCCGGGGCGCGACAGACGCGGGCGCGATGGAGGCGGGCGCGGCCCCGAGGAGAGACCGCCTGGAGAAGAGCGCGCCGGACAGGTGCGTGCCGCGGCGGAGGGCGGGCAGGGCTGCGCGCGCCCTCCTCCAGGAAGCCCTCTGGGCACTGCGGGGCGAGGGCGTGGAGGGGCGGCCTAAATGAGGGATGCGAGCTGCGGGCACGGGCGGGCGCGAGGCGTGGCCTCGGAGGGGCCCGGAGGTGACCCTTGGACTGAAACCTGAGTGACGTCCAGGCGTCGGGCCTCCCCGCTCCGGGAAAGAGCATGGCAGGGGGCGGGCACGGCCCTGCGGAGGCCCCGGGTCCGGCACGGCAGGGAGCCCGCGCGGCTGGAGAGCGGGGGCTGGGCGGGGGTGACCCGGGACAGCCACAGCGTCCAGGGAGACTTCGGGGTCTGTGGGGCCTTGGAGCAGGGCGGGGATGTAAGTTAAGTGTGTCTTGAGCGAACCTTTCTGGCTGCTTTGTAGAGAGTAGGGGCAGGGTTGGGGGTCAGGGGAGCAAGCAGGGAACCGGGATATGAGGGTCCTTAGAATCCGGGTTCAGGCCTGAGTCTCAGCGCCTCTTCCAGTAGATGTCCTGCTGTGGTTGGGACAGAGAAAAGGGACCTGGGAAAATGTCCTCTAAGAGACAGTGGAGAGGAGATTCCCATGCCTTTTAATTTTTGGTTATGAAACTGATAAAGTTTAACTTTCTCATCCGGTATTGATAGCGCTTTAAGGAAGTAGCAAGTCATGGAGCAGAGTAACCTGTAAAATATTATTCTGAAATTCAAGCCGCAAGTCCAGCCAAGCTACAGGTTGAAAAGCTGCTTTTGCTCGGCAGACACGAGCTGTCCGAGGTACTTTGGAGTCGTTTTTTAGTAGGATAGAACAGCAGATTTAGGGGCACATGGAAAGTCTCAGCAGGGCCAGGAGATTCCTGGGACTATTAACACTAATACCAGAGTGGTGAAGGATGGGCAGTCAGGGCCCCCAAAGCCCCGAAGCCTTGGACCTACGGGGAGATTTTAACAGCTTGTGGGAAAGGTGCTGCATTAAAACTAAGGCACATTCTGTTCACACTCTAGAGCTTAACAGCCACCATTAGTAATTGAGTTTTCACGTGGATTGGTTTCAACACTGTTCTTTATTTAAAAATCAGGTAAAATGATTAGTGGTGTCAGGCAAGATTACCTACTATATATATTTCTGAAGGTTTCTGAAACGTGTAAAAATATATACAGATAAGTTTTTCTTAGGAATCTTTCAGGGGATTTGTATTTTCTGTGGCATTTACTTTGTCATTTTTGTAAATCAAGCCCTTGCTATGTGGAAGCATTGTCTTCAGTGCTGGCCATAGAGCAGTGAGGAAAACACAAAACCCGCACCCTGGTGGAGCTGCGCTTCTCGAGACAGACACTAAACAGGGACACACTGGGCCTGTCACATGATCCATGGAGGAAGAAAGGAGGGAAAGGGAAACAGGTTTCTGGGGAGGCAATTTTAAATAGAGCTGTGGGGAGCCTCACCAAGGACAAGGTGGAGCGAAGGCAGTGAAAAAGTCAGGCGGGGTGGGGGGTGGCATGGTCATTCTGGGCAAAGGAAGCCAGAAGTGTGGAGCCTGAGGCAGAAGCAGGCCTGCCCCAGGGGGAAGGCCAGTGTGGTGGAAGCTAGGACGGAGGAAGTGGGCACCCAGACCCCTTGAAGCCCCACAGGCCATCACAGAAATGGGTGCAGGGAAATAAAGGAAAACTCCTGATGAAGTTAAGCAAACAGGAAAATTCTTCAGGAACCTGCGGCACCCTGAATGTCCTGCCCTCAGAGTAGAGCTGCAGACCTATCCTTTGTAGCAGGCGGGTGTCCAATCCAGGCCCACCAGAACTAATCCTACCAAGGGGTAGAACCAAATTTTGAAAACCTAAATGGATGGTCTCCTGTCGATTATAAAAGAAACTGGCAAATACTAGATGATTAGCAGTTACGTTTTCCATACGTAATGAAGATCTGGATATTCTTAAGTGCAGTTTGTGGAACCCTGCAGTGTTTATGCGGAAGGTCACCCTACCCTTCACGTCATTTGCTCCTGGTGATGTAATGATAGACATAGAGCTGCTGAGTTTCCCATATTTATCTCCTTTTTCTTAATCACCTTTTTCTTTCCTTCAGGAAAGTTTATATGGACTATAATGCAACCACTCCCCTAGAGCCAGAAGTTATCCTGGCCATGACCGAGGCCATGCAGGAAGCCTGGGGAAATCCCAGCAGTCCATATCCAGCAGGTAATTCTAGGACGTGTGCACGTGGCACAAAGTCACAGATCGGAGATGATGGGGGGCAGAGGTGCTCTTGATGAAACTGTACACCCACATGTGATGGCTCTGTTTTGAATAGATTTTCTGTTGCCTGCAAATCTTTAGCTGTAGGTTTTGGTAGTTTTCTTTTGAGAAGTCCAGGTTTGTAAGCTGAACCTCGCTGATACTATAATCTTTAACCTTTAGTGTTTAATCTTTAATGTGCTCTCCTGTCACCCTTTCCTAGATGAAAAGGATGTCTTATTAAGAATTATTTGTAACAGTATCTATTAAAACCCTTTCACATATCTGGCTCAGTTGATCCTCACAAAATTTACAAAATATGTCTTTTAAATCACCAGGGTCACATACAATCCTGGCCTTTTTAAAATGAAAATTACTTTAAAACTCATTACTTTAGTTATAATTATAAATATTCTTATTTGTTTCTGATGTATTGTTATAATTTACAGCAGTAAATTGGAAGTTTTGGAAAATAATTTGCTTCAAGTCAGTAGTTATGTGGCAGAGTTACATTATGTTTTTCAGACGAATGGGCGAGCTAAAGTCTCACCTTTCCTATTTAATGTTTATTAGAGTTAATTAAGATAAATTAACTGTGGATTATGATGAACTGGAATAACTCTTCAAACAGAATGTTGCCAAGCCATAGGATTTAGTGATAAATATGTTTAGCTTTACAGGGTTTAATGTGTCTTCATATCCATTTTCTTATTAAATGTTTCACAGCAACTTGATAACTAAGAGCTTTTTCAAAATCAGATACTGGTCATTCATTAACTTATTTGTTAGTTTGTTTGGTGCATGTATTCTGGCTAATCTTCCAGACATTGCCTGTGTCTCATCCCTTCTAGTAAAACTGAATTTTCTGATGTTTTAAACTTGATATTACGGAGAATAATTAAGTGCTGATAAAAGGCATTTTATCATGAAGTTTGGGAATACCTCTCAGGGAGAAATAATGATCCTGACTGAATGAAGCCTGTCAGTGGCTTTTAGCCTGCTTGGCAGTCTTTGTCTACACAGATTAAGGACTGTAACTCAAAGTTGCATTGCAGTTCACTTCCTGTTGGCTCTCAGGTAGAAACATACACACAAAAATAGAATAGCAAAAATCATTTTACTATAGAATGGTTTAATTATTTTCACAATATTATGATTTAAAATCTTTGAGGGGAATTTCAAGGAAAATATTGAGGATGTGTGGGAAAATTTTAGGTACCCAAGATGTTTATCAGAGCCTTGCTTATAATAGCAAAAACCTCGAAATAACCTCCATGTTCATCAGCTGAGGACTGATTGTAAAGCGTGGCAAAGCCTCGTATTAGAGTTCTGGACCCTTTCAAAGTGATGATGGACTCTGTCAGTGACCTAGAAAGATAACACTCGTTTGCATCTGGTTCAAGTGGAAAAGGCGTGTTGTGGGTCTGCAGAGTGACTTCATTGTTTTCCCCAGTCCCCATCCCCAAAGAAAAACTTGTGTGTGAGCACGTATGGGAAATGTATTTGCTGTGAGTTTTGCTGTGAGACAGAAAATCAAAACCACAGTGGCTTGACCAGCTTGCAGTTCACTTCTCTCACACAGTCCAGGGCCCATATGGTCGCTACACTGTTGTCAGGGACCCAGGTCTTTCTATCGTATTCCTCTTCCATCCTCAGCATGCACCTTGGCCCTTGTGGTCAGGATGGCTGCTCCAGCTCAAGCCATCGTGTCAGCAGTCCCATCTGTGGGAAGGAGAGAAGAGGAGGAGAAAGGTGTGCCTGAGTCCTTCAAGGACACTTCTGGAAGTTGCAAGTAACCACTCTGCCCAGAGGTTGGTCACGTGGCCACGCATAACTGCAGTATAAGCTGGGAAATGCAGTCTTACTTCTGGGCAGTCACATGCCAGCTGCAGATGAGGGCCATGCCACCATGGTAGGAAGAGACAATGGGTAAGAAGACCACTGGCAGCCCAGGCCAGGTGGGATGCACACCAAATACGTTCACACCAGTTGTCCTCGAATAGGGGTATTGTGGAAGGTTTGGGGTATCTTCTTTTGGTTTCCTGTTTTTTAATTTATCTACAATTGGCATGCACAATGTAATGAAGATAAAAGTTTACTAAAGCCAAGGTTTAGGGAGACATCTCTTTTAAACTCAGAAGGCAAATTTTAGCTTTGCTAATTGCAAAAATTGGATTCACCGTAGCATGGCTTTCTGAGTGTGCCTCCCTCCTGCTCTTATGTTGAAATGACAACAAGCACGTGCTTTGCTCTTGTGTGCTCTGGCTTCTCCATCCAAGTCACTTGTGAATGCTTTTCCAAACAAGTGCCCTTTGATTGTGGAAGACGACTGGGAGGATGTCATGAAGCTGTACCGTGGGTGGGGTTTGCAGTGCCTTTGCATGCCCGTTATTAGTGATAACGTGTGATGGGGGCAGGTTTACAGTTGAGACACCCACCCTCAGGGCAGTCAGATGGTACACAGTGTCATGTGGCTGGTCCCTGGATAGAACCCAGCTCTCTTACCTCTGGGTTGTGGGCTTTTCCCACCATCACCACTCAGTTCTCCAGGGCCTGTGCCAATACCATCTTCTGGTGCTGTCAGCATGGAGGGTCTGTGCGACTTAGGAGACTGGGGCTCTCATTTCCGCTGACTCGAGTCCTGCTATGGCATGTAAAATCAGACTTCTGTGGTGTCTCAGTTCATCCATGCATTCACTTCAATTGTGCAGCTCTGTGCCGGAAGGCAAAGCGGTGACTAAAATAGATGGTGTCTGGCCCTCCTGGAGCATCCATGTCAGTGAGGGTGCAGGGGCGGGACAGCCAAGGAACAGATCCACGAGTACAAACCCATGAGGTGAAGGAAGTCCTGTGAGGAGCCACAGAGCAGGGTCGGGGCTTGGCAGTGCCAAGGTGCCACACCTTGTATGGGACGGCCTGGGGAGGCCTCTCTCATAACCACAATTTGCATAGATGAGAAGGCAGAGTGTGGCAGAGGGCACTGCAGGCAGAGGGTATGCATGATGACAGGTGACGAGGGCCCAAGTGGTGCCACAGTGTTGTGGGGTGGTGGAATGGGGTCCAAGAAGTTTGGGGGGGTGACCCCTTCTAGGCCTATGGAGGCCACTGTGGGGCCTGCATTCATTGAAGTGAGGCAGAGAGAGCTGGAGGGTTCGGAGCAGAGTGGTTTAACATGGGGCTCTCGAGCATTTCGGTCTCATGACCCTCTTACACTCTTAATATTATTAAGGACTGCAAGGAGCTTTTGTTTATGCATGCTATACTTATGCTATACTTATAGATATTTTCCATATTAGAAATTAAAACTGAGAATCTTTAAAAGTGTGTATTTAGTAATTCTTTAAAAATATTTCATTACATTAGCTTTTTATGAAAAATTAACTCTTTTGCAAAACAGAACTAGTTTAGTGAGAAGAATGGCATTGTACATTTGAAGGTCTCCTTCATGTCTGGCTGAGTAGAAAAGTGGTGCTCAGCCCTACTGTGTGCAGTCTGTTGCGATATTTGCACAGGGAGCCTCTGGAAGGCTTCCCTGTGTACTGTGAGGAGATTTGTGGGGAGCAGGCAAGCGAGTATCACTGTGAAAATGGTTTTGGTTTTGTGGACCCCCGAAAGGGCCTTGGGGACTCCAGGGTTCTCCGAACCACATTTGAGAACAGCTGATTTAGCCAGTATTGATTGAGCACCTACTGTATGCCCAGCGCTGTTTTAAGGTAAGGGGTAAGGCATGGTACACAAAATGTATTTGGGTTTTTTTTTTTTGTTTTTTTTTTTCCTTTTTTTGTCTTTTTTCGTGACCGGCAATGGATCGCAACCCTCAGTGTCGCGCCTGTACCGGACCGGGACCGGCCACGGGATCGCAACCCTCGGTGTTGCTCCCGCACCTCGCTCAGCCAGTGAGCGGCCGGTCTGTATGTGGGATCCGAACCCTCGGCGGGAGCGCCGCCGCGCTTCACAAGCGGCGCACTGTAGCAGTGCGCCACCGGGCCAGTCCCTGTATTTGGGTTTTTGAGGCATTACTCTGACCACTACGTGTGGAATGGACCGTGGTGGGGTCAGTGGAGTCAGGGGAGCTGTGGAGGCCTGGATTTAGTTGGCAGCTGGGGCGGTGGAGAGGCAGAGTCAAATTTTGAACATGTTTTGACAGCAGAGCCTGCAGGATTTGCTGATGGATTGGTTGATGGGTATGAGAAAGGCCTGGGCCCTAGAAGGATTCTGTTGCTATCTACTGAGACAGGAAAGGTTTAGAGAGGAGCAAGTTTGTGGGAGAAATCAAGCACTTGACTCTGAGCATGTGCAGTTTCAGATGCCTGCCAGATGTCCAGGAGGAGCAAGTGGAGTCCAGAGGAGGGGCCTGAGCTAGAGACCTGGGGGTCACCAGCGTGGAATGGCACTCCCAGCCTTGAGTCGCTGGGGGGATGGGGGCTGAGGACCTGAGCAGGGCCCACGGCCATCTGCAGTCTGGAGTTGGAGCTGAGCCACCAGGGGGACCAAGGAACCCCAGCCATGGAGGGGAGGGAGGGCCCCCGAAATGATGTTCCTAAGACGACGAGTGGTCTAGGGGAGAGCTGCTGGCAGGGGCAGGGGGTAAGGACTGAGCCGTGTATCTGAATTTAGATTTGGCCACACAGGGACCTTCGGTAAGAGTAGATTTGGGGGCCTGGGAGCCTGAATGCCTGATCACAGTGGGCTCAAAAGGATATGGAGAGGAGCGCAGATAGCAAAGGGAAGCCAGGTTCTGATGTAACACTCGTGTCAAGTCTTTGGATGGACATCTGCTCTCTTTTCTCGTGGGTAAACAATGTTTACCATAAACACCTAGGAGTAAAGTGGCTGGCTCATATGGTAGGTGTACATTTGACTTTGTAAGGAGCTGTCCAACTCACTCCAAAGTGGTTGTACCATTTTCCATTCCCCCTGGCAGTGTTTTGAGTGTTCCAGTTCCTGCACACCCTCCCGAGCATGTGGAATGTGCAGTCTCTTAACTTCAGCCAGTCTAATAGGCATATGGTGCTAGTAAGCTAGCCCCATGAGTCCTTATTTAGAAAGGTCTCCAAACTTCTTGATAAGTGGAATAAGGACGTTTTTGCAAATCAGCATGTCAGTTATGAAACCCATTTTGGAAAGAGAAAGGAAAACCATATGAAATGCTTATATGAAGGCATATACATACATTGAGAAAAGTTTGGACATTTACACACCATGCTCACAACAGTGATGGCCAAGGGGAGGAAAGTGAGAAAGGAGGCAGAGATGGAGTCCTGCTTTGGAATCAGCCCAGTGGCTTGGAGGGGGAGGGCGGCTTTTCAACAGAATCTCGGAGAAAGAGTGGGAACACGTATGTGGTCAGGATTTGAGTGACATTCCAGGTGGAGCTAAGCGTGTGTGCCAGGCAGTCGTCCTGCCTGAGTTTATTGGCAGTTTATTACAGTGCTTTTGACATAGCATTAACTAAGATGACTAGGTTTTCCTGAACACTATAGCCCTTCACTATTTATAATTAAAATCTGTACAGTAGTGTTGAGGAATGTGAGAATTACCTTGCATATTTATTTTTACCTCACCTTTTTACATTTCTGTTTTTTATGATGTTTTATGATATTTTACTGGTTCCTGCTCAAATGTTTTTACAAATAAGACTGAATAGTCAATTGGAGACTACTGGTCTATAGACTAAGAATGGTCACTGAAATTGTCAGAATTCCCATCCCAGCGCCTTTCTTTCTCTGCTGTGAGGTTTGTTTCCTGAGTTTCCCTACTAGACAACGAAACTGGGTAATAGTCCCTATTTGAAAGCAGATACAATCTGGAAATAGTAACCTTTCTAGTATACCTAGGGTCACCTGCGGTATGAGATGTGGCATTGGATTTTGTGTTGAGGAGTCATGAGTTCTATTTTTGCTTATTTTTGTTGTTTTGCAGCATGACCTTACGCACATTATTCCATCCTTTCACTCTCCTGTCTTGATGAATGGGAAGCAAGGCAGAAGGCCACAGCTTCCCTTCTCCTGTAGCCTCCGGTAAGAAGAAAGCTGTGTCTTAGGGAACTTTAGGGTTCCCAGGCATCCCCCATATTTATTTCTGGCTCTCACTAAGTTACTTAAATCTGAGTAGTTTTCACTGATTAGCTAATGTCTTACTGCTGTCCCTTTGCCAAGTTATTTCTAGGTCGTAGCATATTGTTGTATTCACGTTAATGGGACATGTTTCCTCTTAGAATTGCCCACTGAGATCTCTTGCTCGTTTGCATTTGGCTGTTCTTTTAAACATGTTGATTGTCCTTGGTAGGCAATGCTAATTAATTTCCTTTTTGATCTCTCAAGGTAGAAAGGCCAAGGATATTATAAATACAGCTCGGGAAAACCTTGCGAAGATGATAGGTGGAAAATCTCAAGACATAATCTTCACTTCTGGGGGCACCGAGGTAAAGTTTCTAAATAGACTCACACTTCTAGCTATAAGTTGTAATAAAATATAGAAGATGGTTCATTCTTGGTTGTTGTTGTTATTTTTGTTTTTAAGAAAGAGCAATGCTTGGTCTTGCTCCATGTCAAGTTAGCCGATGTTTGTCTTATAAGTAAATTCATGATGGCCATTAGGATTTTTGTAATATAATGGATAAAGTAACTTGCTTTGCTTTGTTGTTTCAATAAAGAGAGTTTCCCCTTTATTTTGCCCTGGAATCATTGCTTTGAATCCATACTAAATTGTGTCTTATCAAGAATTTGGGGTTTGATCAATTCCAAAGGTACTTATTTGTAAATTGACAGAAGATACTCAAAAATGTTGTGATGGGCATCACGGCCTTTGCTCAATTAGTCACACACCTTGTTTCATTCCCTTCCTGGAAAGGAAGGCACAACAGTTATCCACTGGTGATTTGACTGTCCACAGGGAAAGACCAAAAGCAGCTACCTCTAGATTGTTAGAGTTAATAAGAAAATTTAGCATAGATTTTAGGTACAAAGTTCAACTGGAGGGCTGGCCAGCTAGTTCATTTGGTTAGAGCACAGCGTTGTAACACCAAGGTTAAGGGTTCAGATCCCTGTACTGGCCAGCTGCCAAAAATATATATACATATTTATAAATTGGATTTTTATATGCTAGCAACAAATAGGTTTTTGCCAGAGCATCAAAAAATATCAAATACTAAATCTAGTAAAGAATTTGTAAGACTCCAGCCACCACTGGGAAAGTTAGAAATATTACTGAAAGCTTCAAAGCCCACCAGGAGAAAACTGGGGCACAGCATGGACAGCTGATCTGCCCCCCAGTCAGCACAGGCCCACTCAGTGGACACTGGTCAGGAATATAGAACTGCAGGGGGTACAGTTTGCTGAAAAGACACAGGCCCAGACCAGAGTTTCCACATAACCCAGCCATATTGGACCTCACAAGACGCAGAGGTGCTTACAAGGTCAACAGTTAAAACCTGAGCTGCACAAAAGCCTTCCCCAGAGCAGCAGCAAAGCAGCAATTTAGCTAAACCACAGGGCTCAAATGCTGGTTCCCACAGGAAGTTCCCCCATTTTAGAAGTAACCAAAGGGCAGCAAATTAGTTCCAGTACAGAGTTTAATTGGTGGGGATGGTGAATAATCCAACACAAAACTGAAAGAGAAAACAAAAACCCATAGAACAGAGACAAAGTTGTGATATTAACCAGTAAACGTCTAGTACTACCAAAGAACACCTGTAAAACCTAGAAGGACCAGAAGCCCCCCAGGCTCCCAAGCCAGGGTTGGGTGAGGGCCGAGGGCCTCAGCCACATCCCCTGACATCTGCATCTAGCCCAGCAACAACCACCAGGCTGCCACCAAAGTGCTCCAGGCTCCCAAGCTGGGGTGGGTGGGATGCTGAGCGCCTCAGCCACGCCCCCCCAATGTCCGCAGCAAGCCCAGTGACAACCACTGAGCCACCACCAGAGTTGCTCCAGGTCCCCAAGCCTGGGCAGTGGGGGGGCCAAGGACCTCAGCTACACACCCTCTGACATCCACATCCAGCCCAGCAATGACCACCAGGCCACCGCTGGAAGCACTCTGGGCTTCTCAGCCAGGATAGTAGGGGGCCAAAGACTTCAGCCATGCCCCACTGAAGTCCATATCCAGCCAAGCCACAACTGAGCCACTACTGGAAGCCCCCGGGCTCCCCTGCTGTAATGAGGGAGTGCCATGGGCTTTGACCACAACCCCCCCTTCCTCTTCCTCCCACCCTTTCCCTCTACCCCTTCCCCCATCTGCTCCACAACTACATCTTAGAATGTAGAAAAGTAAAAAATTTTTTAAAAGAACCTCTACCTTTCGGTTCTAAAATAAATGAAGTTTTAAGACACACACACAAGAATGTAGCAGAACTCATGGAACTGAAAGATTCACTCAGTGAAATAAAAAAACAGAACTAGTAGCTTAAGCAGCAGGCTAAAACAAGAAGAATAAATTTCTGATCTTGAAGATAGTCTTTTTGAAATAACCCAGGCAGACAAAAAAAGGAAAAAATAATTTAAAAAATGAAGAAAATCTAAGAGAGTTACCAGACAACCTTAAGCACATAAACATTTGAGTTATGGTTGTTCCATAAGGAGAGAAAGGAAAAGGCATTGAAAACGTTCAATTAAATAATACAGGAAATTTCCCACGTATAAAGAGAAACACAGACCTTCAGATCTAGGAGGCTCTAAGGTCCCCAAACAGACTCAACCAAAAAAGATCTTCTCCAAGATACATGTACTCAACTGGCAAAGCTCGAAGACAAAGACAGAGTCTTGAAAGAAGCAAGAGAAAAGTGTCAAGTCACTTACACAGGAGCCCCTATCAGACTAACAGCAGACTTATCAACAGAAACTCCACAGGCCAGAAGAAAATGGGATGATATATTCAAAATACTAAAAGAAACTGCCAGCCAAGAATACTATACCCAGCAAGGCTGTCCTTCAGAAATGAAGGGAAAATAGTGTATTTTCCAAACAAATAAAAACTGTGGAGTTCACCACCATATGACCAGCCCTACAAGAAATCCTCAATGAAGTCCAGCATCTGGAATCTCAAAAACAATAAACACTACCACAAATACACAAGAAATAACAAAACCCACTGGTAGAACAAAAATATAAATGAGAAAGAGAAAGAAACTAAATCTTACCACCACAGAAAACCATAATGACAATGTAATGGCCCAGATTTATTTGTGATTTTAGTAATTTCAGTCTATTCTTTTTTTCTTGGTCAATCTAGATAAAGGTTTGCACATTTTATTGCTCTTTTTAAAGAATCAACTTTTGGTTTTGTTGATTTTCTCTATTGTTTTTCTAATTCACTATTTCATATATTTCTGTTGTAATCTTTGTTATTTCCTACTTATATTTGCTTTTGATTTAGTTTGCTCTTCTTTTTCTATTTTCTTAAGGTAGAAGTTTACATTACTGATTTGAGATTTTAAAAAATTTTTAATATATGTTTACAAGTATAAATTTTCCTGTAAGCACTCCATAAGCCCTGCATCCTAAAATTTTGATATATTGTGCTGTGATCTTTATCTCAGAGTACTCTCTAATTTCCCTGTGATATTTCCTTTTATCCATTGTTTATTTAGGAGAGTGTTGTTTAATTCCCACACATTTGTGAATTTTCTAAATTTCCTTCCATTATTGTGGTCAGAAAACATATTTTCTATTATCTTAGTCTTTTTAAATGTCTTAAGACTTGTTTTGTGGCCACACAAAAAAATTTATAGTTTTTAGGTGATAAGTTAACATTTTGTGGTATTTAAGAATGAAGGATTTCTTACAATAAGAGAGCATTAACTGTAAAGGGAAACACTGAGGAAATCTGTCACAACAGAAACAACAAAACAAACTGGATTCATCAAAGAATACTATGAAAAAAATAAAAAGACAAGCAAGACAATGGGAGCAGATATTTCCAGCACGTAACTGACAAAAAACTAGCATCTAGAATACAAGAAAGAACTCCTACAAATCATTAAAAGGCAGACAATACAATAGAAAATGGGCAAGAAACTTGAATACACACTTCACAAAGGAGGAGCCCACATGTGTTCTACATATGCAACAATACTCAGCCTCATAAGTCGTCAGAGTGAAAGAATGAACAAGGAAAGGACTCTACACACCCATCAGAACAGTAAAAATTGATTAAGATGTCCAGTGGTACAAAGAACGGTGCTGGTAGGAGTGTAAGTTGGAAAACCATTTAGGGACATGGGTCAGCATTGCCTGGTAAAGTTGGAGACATGCATGCCCTGTCAGCCAGCAGCTCCACTCATGGGCGTATATCCTGGAACACGTGGCAGTGCTCCAGGGGACAGGTACAAGAATGTTCATAGTAGTGTCATTCATAATAGCAAACACTGGGAGCAATCCATGTGCCCTCCACAAGTAGAACTGGTAAGTGTTAATGCCTGTGATGCAGTCATGCAGTGGGAAACCACACAGCTGTGTGCAGCACTGGGGGTGTAGCTTACGGTGTCGAGTGAAAGAAGTCAGTCAAAAGAATGGGTTTCTCCTGACAGGGCAGAGCCATGGTGGCTTAACCAAGTAAGGGGAGGTAGAGTGTGCCACCAGTCCCTGGGCACTGTGACCTTGACCTCAGGACCCAACTCTGTGGCTCACCAGGACAAGCCACCTCAGCTCCAGCTGCCCAGTAGGGCCCTCCTGGTCTCGATCTGGGGCTAGGCGCTGTGGAACATTGTGACCTGGGAGGACATGGATACATTTTTAAATGTGACATACTGGTTCTGACAGATCATTGCTGTGTTCCCAGTGCCGCTTGGGGGAGTTTCTTGGGAATGACAGGATCTGCCTGGTCAACGTGGAGTCCTGTGCCTCTTCTCAGCAGCCACCTGTGATGGATGAGAGTACAGCAGGGGCTCAGGACATCCGTCGTTGGGATCAGCTTTCACACTACCATCCACTGTGACCTCTGGTCCCTGTGGTGACCACAGGACCCCCTGAAAGGGGATTGCAGGGCCGTTGCAGCCCCATGGAGCCTAGAAAGCCTTCCTTCTGAACCAAGAGTCGCTGTGCTGGGCATCGGTGTTTCTACAAGGGTTTGACCTGGGACTTTAAAAGAACCACCCATCTCTATCGAAGCATATCTCAATTGCTCATCTCTGACCAGTTCCTCACCTTTTTTTAATTTGGTGCTTCTCAGATTTGGATGAAACATTAGGTCGCTTCCTCAGTTCCCCCCACCCCGGGGCACACCTATTAAGCTCTCAGTGGCATCGGAGTACTCTGAGTGCAGGCTGCTCTATGTGAGTGTCTCGGCTCAGTACAAGCAGCATCTGCCAAGGTTCCACTGTGGACTGTTCTCAGATACTTGAATAGGTCAGGTCTCTAATTGAGAGGAAAGTTCAGTTCAGTTCCATTCATATGAACGTCAAAAAGAGGCCAAACAATGTTGTTTAGGGATGCTTACACAGGAAGTGAAAGTATAAAGAAAAGCAAGGAAATGATTACCATGAAAGTCCGGGTGGGTGTTAGCCCTGCAGGGTTGGGGTGGGGTGGGGTGCTGAAGCGACTCCTGTGGCTTGGGCAGGATTCTTTGTCTGCAAACCCATGTATTCACTGTGCTACTTTTCCTTAAGCTCTATGTTTATATTTTACACACTTTTCTGCCAGACTTAGCAATGAGAGAAAAGTTTTCTTCCACCCCAGTCTCTCAGTCATCCACTTCCTCTCCCTGCAGGAGACCAATATTGCTGTTTTCTTTCATGTCCTCCAGAGATACAGCCTGGCATTAAAAGCAAATAAGCATGTAGCTTTGTATATTCTTCCCTTTTTACCTTATAAAGGATTCTTTTGCATATATAAGCAAATGTGTATTTATTTCCCCCTCGTTATGCAAATTGTAGGATACCATATATAATGTTTGCCACCTTTTTTTAAAACAATATATTTGGGATCTTTCAACATCAGCATGTTGAGCATTTTCTTGGTGTTTTTTACATCCACTTGGTGTCCATTGAGTGAAAGTCGTGTAATTTATCTAACAAGTCCCTTTATTGATGGACATTGAAGGGCTGTCCAAGGTTTTGCTGTTACACCAGTGCTACACTTAGCAAATAACCTTCACATCCATCAGTTTGCTTCTGCACAAGTGTAGCTGTGAGAAAAAGTATGAGAAACAGAATTGCCAGGTCAAAGGGTTTGTTTGACATGTATGCCACATGGCCCTTAATAATACATATGTCTCATGCCAATTTATACTCCCACTAGCAATGGGCGCTTGGGTGAAACATTCTCTTTTGACCGGTGTATAAAATTTGGAAATTCATAATGTGGCTCAACAATGAAATAGACAAAATTGACTGAAAATGAATTCCAAAATTTTTTAAAGTTTGAAACCCACAGGTCTTTCAAAAGATGCAGCTCAGGAAGTTTAATTTTTTGAGGCTATTATCTTTTTAAGTCTTAGCCATGAAAGGAAATGACAAAAGAAAGATTGTTACTCTAGCTCTTCCCTTAGGACAGTTTTTGTAAATGCTTTTTCTACTGTGTCTCCGCAGGCAAATAATTTAGTTATCCATTCCATGGTGAAATATTTCCATGAAAACCAAACCTCTAAGGGGGACATGGCTGAGCATCACAGCCCAGTGCAGGGGGCCAAGCCCCATTTCATCACCTGCACGGTGGAACACGACTCCGTCCGTCTGCCCCTGGAGCACCTGGCAGAAGAACAAGTGGCTGGTGAGTGAATGCGGGGACCGGCCCTGGAACCAGCCTGCTGAGCTCCACTGGGGAGGGTGGCCCGTGGGCAGAGCTGGGATGGACCTTGGAGATGGAGTTTCAGCTCTCCCTGGCCCTGACTCACTGACTCTGTATGCAGGGTGCGAGGCTGGAGCATGTGCTCCCCTGCATGCGGGCTTCCCGCCTGCCCTTCTCGGAGCATGGGTACGCTGCATCCCTCCTGCCACACAGGGAGTTGGTAAAAGCCACCACTTTTCCTTAGGAAAAAAATTGATCACCAATGTGTAGAACTAGTGATTCGTATTACTGAATGATATTTGAAACTCATATATAATAAATATTTAATCTTTAAATGGTGTGTCTATAAATCGATAAATAATGCTTTTCACTATTTGCTTTTAATAATTAAATCTTGACTCCCACGTCCTCTGATATGAAGGATAAAATAAACGTAAACTTCCAGTGTAAAGACAAGAATAAATGAGCTCCTGCTGCACCTTATGGCCACACAGAGGAGGCGAGGGCCTCTCACCGTGGGAGCGGGAAGCAAGAGCCGCACAGGAGGCCGGTGGGCATCAGCCTGCAGCTTGTGAGGCAGTCTGAGGGAGGAGGCAAGCTTGGCCAGCAGTGACAGAGGTCACTGTCACATACACGGACTGGGTCTCCTTTCACTTGTCCTGTGATAGGAAGTCTCAAGGAGGAGTAACACTTTCAGGGGGTGTAGACTATTAACTTGTGAAAATGTGAAGAGTCCTTTTCTTCCCAGAGGACAGCCAAGGTCAATTGACACTCTCCTGTAAATACGAAAATGATTTTCTTCTCACCATCTGCTTTCTTATCTAATCTGCCTGGAACCTGAAGGCAAACACAAGGAAAGTATTTTTATCTTGAAGATTGAGGGACGGTAGCAGAGCTGCTTGGTTTGACTATGAAGCCTTTTAACTGATTTTCTTCTTTGACTGCTGGAAAAGTTTTTTTCTTCATGGTCTTACTTGAGTGCTTGCCAACAGATGAAAATATTCACATGAAGGATTTAGATGCCAAGATTAAATTTTTCACCATTTAAAAAAAAAAGATCCAACTTTCTTATGTAAGTTGTAGTTACTTTTAGTCCCTGATACCTTTTTTTCTGTTTTACTAATACAGGGAAGGGCAACTTAGTGGAGATCATTATTAGTTACTGTTGCATTTAACCTCGTTTAAAATCATACAAAGATTTTTTTTTTTTTCCCTTTTTGTCTTTTTTCGTGTCCGGCAATGGATCGCACCCCTCAGTGTCGTGCCCGTACCGGACCGGGACCGGCAACGGGATCGCAACCCTCGATGTTGCTCCCGCACCTCGCTCAGCCAGTGAGCGGGACCCGGTCTGTACGTGGGATCCGAACCCTCGGCGGGAGCGCCACAGCACTCCCAAGCGGCACACTGTAGCAGTGTGCCACCGGGCCGGCCCCAAAATCATACAAAGATTTTTAAAAGTATAGATGTGCCTGTGTTGGAAACAGTGAAGACATTATAGAAACATATGAAGAAAAAGTGAAGGCTCTTCCCTGCCTAGTCCTCCTCACAGACAGCCACTGTCACAATTCGCTTGGAGTTTTTCTGTGGTTATCTTTGTAATTCCAGTTACTTTCATTTTAATACTAAAAAGCTTAAAAAAACATGATCTGCATTTCTTGGTTTATCAGCTCAAGCATTTGTTGTTGACTCCCCAATGTAAAAATGAGGACTGGACCCTGAGACTTCCTCACACCCCTCCATCTGCACACCGCCCAGTGGTTTTCTTTATATATCAGCCTTAATGAGGTATCGTCCACCCCTTTAAAGTGTACGATTCAGCAGTTGTGAGTATATACACAGAGTTGTACAACCATCATAACAACCGATTACAGGACATTTTCATCACCCCAGAAAGAAGCCTTGTACCAATCAACTCTAAATCTTCATTTCCCTCAACTCCAGGCAACCACTAATCTACTTTCTGTCTCTGTAGATTTGCCTGTTCTGAACTTTGGTATGAATGGAATCGTGCAGTATGTGGTCTTTTGTAACTGGCTTCTTTCACTCAGCATAATGTTTTCAAGGTTCACCCATGTTGTGGCATGAATAAGTTCTTAATTCCTTTTTATGGGTGAATAATAATCCATTGTATGTATATACCACATTTTATTTATCCATTCATCAGTTGATAGATATTTAGATTGTTACCATTTTTTGGCTACTATGAATAATGCTACTATGACCATTTGTATATGAGGTTTTGTGCAGATATATATTTCATTTCTCTTGGGTCTGTACCTATGGTTGGGGACGCTGGGTCATATGGTAACTCCATATTTGACAATTTCTGAGGTCACTCTGTGTTTTACCTTAACCTTTGTTTTCCAAAGTAGCTATACCATTATATATTCCCATGAGCAGGTTATGATGGTTCCACCTTCTCCATATCCTCACTAACATTTGTTATCTTTTTTATTTGTCTTTTTTATTATAGTCTTCCTAGTGGTTGTAAAGTAGTATCTCATTGTGGTTTTGATTTGCAGTTCCCTGATGGCTAAATAGTTTTGAGCATCTTTTCATGTACTTATTGGCCATTTGTATATGTCTTCTTGGAGAAATGTCTATTCAAATCCTTGCCCATATTTTCATTTGATTACTTGTCTTTTTTATTGAGTTGTAAGTGTTCTTTATATATGCTTGATACAGGTTCTTTATCAGATGTATAATTTGCAAATATTTTCTCCCATCCTAGGGGTTTTCTTTTCTCTCTCAGTGTTACCCTTTGAAGAATGAAAGGTTTTACTTTTAATGAAATCTGTGTTTTGTTTTGTTTTGGATTTTTTTTGGTCTCTCATGTCATCTCTAAGAAGGCTTTGCCCTACCCAAGGTCATGAAGATTTGCTCATATATTTTCTCCTGAGAGTTTTATAGTTTTAGTGTTTACCTTTAGGTCTCTGATGCATTTTGAGTGAATTTTGCATATGGTGTGAGGTAAGAGTCCAATTTCATGCTTTTGCATGAATGATATGAGTACTATTGTCAAAAATCAATTGATCATGTACAAGTATGTGAAAATTTATTTCTGGACTTTCAATTCAATTCCATTGATCTATATGTCTGTTTTTATGTAGATACCAAACTGTTTTCCTGTAGCTTTGTAGTTTTGAAATTGGGATTTGTGAATCCTCCAAATTTTTTCTTCTTTATCAAGATTGTTTTGACTATTCTGGGTCCCTTAAATTCCCTAAATAATTTTAGGATCAGATTGTTAATTTCCACAAAAAAATCTAACTAGGAGTTTGGAAGGGATTACGTTAAATTTGTAGATCAATTTGGTCAGTATTGCCATCTTAACACCATTGTCTTTCATTCCTTGCATGTGTGATGTCGTTCCAGTTACTTTAAATTTTTCCAACAATTTTTGTAGTTTTCAGAGTCAAGTTTTGCACTAAATTTATCCGTATGTATTTTACTTTTTTGATGCTATTATAGATGGAATTGTTTTCTTATTTCATTTTTAGATCATTCATCGCTATTGTATATAAATACAGTTGACTTTGCATATTGATCTTGTATTCTGCAACCTTGCTGAAACTCATTTATTAGTTCTAATAGATTTTTAGTGGATTCTTTAGTATTTTCTGTGTAGAAAATCATGTCATCTGCAGATAGAGACAGTTTTACTTCTTGTTGCCCTGTTTGTATTCCTTTAATTTCATTTTCTTACCTAACTGCCCTGACTAGAACCTCCAGTATAATGTTGAGTAGAAGTGGCAGGAGTGGACATCCATATCTTGTTCCTGAGCTTGGGGAGATGCCATTCGTTTTTCATCAATAAGTATGATGATAGCTGTGGGTTTTTGTAGATGCCTGTTGTCAGGCTGAGGAAGTTCCCTTCTATTCCCATTCATTGTGTTTTTATCAAGAAGAGATGTTAGATTTTGTTAAATGCTTTTTCTGCATTTATTGAGATGATCATGTGATTTTCTTCTTCATTCTGTTGATAATGGTGTGTTACATTAATAGATTTTTGGATTTTAAACCAGTCTTGCATTCCTGGGATAAATCCCATTTGGTCATGGTGTATAATCTTTTTCTTATGTTTCTAGAATTGGCTCACAAATATTTTGTTGGGATTTTTGTGTCAATATTCATAAGAAGTATTGGCTGTAGTTTTCTTGTGATGTCTTTTTCTAGTTTAGTGCCAGGGTAAAATTACCTCATAGGATTAATTAGTTGGATAATGTCCCCTCCTCTTCTATTTCCTGGAGGAGTTTGTGAAGACTTGGTATTAATTCTTCCTTAAATGTTTGATAGAATTCACCAGTGACATCATCTGGGACTGGGCTTTTCATTGTGAAGAATTTTTAAATTACTGATTTGATCTTTTTACTTGTTATAGCTCAATTTAGATTTTATATTTCTTCTTGAGTCCTCCTCAGTTATTTGTGTCCATCTAGGAATTTGCCCATGTCATCTGTTATCTAATTTGTTGGCATACAATTTTTTATAGTAGTATCTTATAATCTTTCTTACTTGTGTAAGGTTGATATATTTCCTTCATGATTTTAGTAATTTTATTCTTCTCTTCTTCTTTTGATCAATTTTTTTTTCCTTTTTTTTTGTCTCTTTTTTCGTGTCCGGCAATGGATCGCAACCCTCAGTGTCGCGCCCATACCGGACCAGGACCAGCAACGGGATCGCAACCCTTGGTGTTGCACCCGCACCTCGCTCAGCCAGTGAGCGGGAACCGGTCTGTATGTGGGATCCGAACCCTCGGCGGGAGCGCCGCCACGCTCCCAAACGGCGCACTGTAGCAGTGCGCCACTGGGCCGGCCCCTTTTGATGAATTTAGCTAAATATTTGTCTTCTTTTTTTTACCCTTTTTAATGAACTTTTGTTTTTTCTGTATTGTTTCTCTACTCTTTTCCACCCTAATCCTTATTATTTCCTTTCTTCTATGTATTTTAGTTTTAATTTCCTCTTCTTTTTTAAGATAGGTAGTTATTAATTTGAAATCTTTTTTTCTTTTTTAATATAGGCATTTACAAATATAAATTTCCCTCTAAGCTGGGCTTTATCAGAATTCCATGTGTTTTAGTGTGTTGTATATTCATTTTTATTCATCTCAAAGTATTTTCTAATTCCCCTTGTAATTTTTTTCTTTGACTGATTAGATATTTAGAAGTTTGTTGTTTAATTTCCACATAATTTTTAATGTCTAAGATTTCTTTCTGTTACTAAATCCTAATTTTATTCCATATGTTTAGAAAACATACTTTATTATTTTAATCCTTTAAAAATTCATCCTAGAGAATTCTTCATGTGTACTCGAGAAGAATGTGTATTCTATTGTTGGGTGGAGTGTTTTATAGATGTCTGTTAGGTCTAGTTGGTTTATAGTGTTGTTCAAGTCTACTGTTCCCTTTTAAAAATTCTGCCTAGTTGCTGTATTCATTATTGAAAACGTGGTTTTAAGTTACCCAACTGTTATTGATCAATTGTCTGTTTTTCCATTCAAATCTGTCAGTTTTTGCTTCATGTATTCTGGGGCTCTATCATTGGGTGCATATATGTTTATATTTGTTATATATTCTTTGTTTTTCTAAAAATTCTTTTTATTTTAATATTTAATTGTATATATATGTGGGGTACAGTGTGTTGTTTCTCTACATTCATATACTGTACAATGATTGACTTAGGGTACATAGCATAGTTTTGTATCCATTAATCCACCACTTCCCCTCCTGCCTTGTTATATATTCTTGACAAATTGTCCATATTGATGAATGAAGCATTCTGTTGTTTGACATAGGTGGTTAGGGAGGGCTCATTTTCAGTTCTAGATCTTTTTCCCTAGGAGGTGTCTCCCTGGAAGAGAGGGTTCACTGTGGGCTCTCCGTAAGGTGGTGGGAGTAGTGACTGGCAAACTATGTAGGTCCCCCCCCACCTTTTTCTCTGTTTCTCTCTTAGGCACAGTTGCCTTTCCTTTGCTCCTCTTTGAGTCCTATAGTGGATGCCACAAGTTCTTCTCCCTTTTCTACCTCCTACCTCCACCCCAGGAGCTGCCTGTTGTCTATTGTTCATCTCTTAGACATGTGGTGCTCTGTCTTAGTCTGAGGCCAGTACCTCTGCTTTGCTAGGTATGAGGTGGGGTGCTCAGACATCTGAACCCAGTTCTTTTCCTGCCTCAGTAGCTGCCTGTGGCCCTGCTCTTCATGTTTTTCACCCTGACTTGGATGCTCACCAGATCCTTTTATGTTTGCCTTTAAGTGTTCCAAGTGGTTTTCCCCCCCTACTCTTATTAATCTAATGTTGTCATCACCTTTGTATATTTTGGGGATTTCTCAAAATTCCTGGTCCACAGGTGATTCCCCTTATCAATATTGTAGTTTCACTCATGTTTAGAGAAATATCTATTCTCTCATTTCAGTGGGACTTGAGTGGGCAGTGGCTGCTTTTGTCTCCACTATTTTAAACTAAAAAGATCAATCTAATCATCTCTGCTTATTTTTAATCTGCAGTTATGGTATCATAAATCCTGGAACAGTACCTGGCACATAGTAGGTGTTTCACAAATGTTGATTCAGTGTTGCATGAGTGAAAGTTAAGTATTCGACGCATTAAGATGCTCTTGTAAACTGAGTGTGGGCCTTCATCCCTGGTGTATTCCTTTCTCATGGGTTCTTTTAGAAGCATAAAGGAGTATATGTTCCACAAAACAAATTTGTCTGTGTTCAAGAAGCATTCAAGTCTAAACATCTGGCAGTGATTATTTCTGGGTTGCTTATATTCCTTCTTTATAATTTCCTAAACATTGACAATTAATTATTTTTATAATTGTGGAAAATTGTTTTGAGAAGCTATATCTAGATGAAATTCCAAGAGAAATTAATTTGTATGGCTAACCCTGGTACTTGTGTTTTGTATCTCAGTGGTCACCTTTGTCCCAGTGTCCAAGGTGAATGGGCAGGCAGAAGTTGATGACATCCTTGCGGCCATTCGCCCAACCACGTGCCTCGTGACCATCATGCTGGCCAACAATGAGACTGGTGTCATCATGGTGAATCAGCCTTTTTTTCTTTTTAAGAAAATCTGATGGGGAAGAAAGGTAGCTTAGACTCCACCTTAGGTGGTTGTATTAGTCCATTTTGTGTTGCTATAACAGAATACCTGAGACTAGGTAATTTATAAAGAGCAGGTTTATTTGGCTTATGATTCTGGGTCAGCTGCATCTGGCATGGGCCTCAGGCTGCTTCTACTCATGGCGGAAAGCAGCAGGCAGCTGAAGGGTACAAGCAGATCACATGGCGAGAGAGAGAGAGAGAGAGAGAGAGAGGAGGTGCCAGGGTCTTTTAAACAACCAGCTCTCCTGGGAACTAATAGAGCAAGAACTCACTCATTAAACCCCCACTTAGGGACAGCATTAATCCATTCATGAGGATCTGCCCCCATGACTCAAAACAGCTCCCAACACTGCCATATTAGAGATCAAATTTCCACGAGTTTTGGAGGGGATAATACATCCAAACTCTATCATTCTGCCCCTGGCCCCCAAAACTCATGTTGCTCTCACATACAAAATACAGTCATTCCATCCTAACAGTCCCAAAAGTCTTTGCTTGTTCCAGCACCAACTTAAAAGTCCAAAGTCTCATCTGAGACCAAAAGCAAAAGTCCTTCCAGCTGTGAACCTGTAAAAATCAAAAACAAATTTATCTACTGCCAAGATACAATGATGGAACAGACATTGGGTACACATTCCCATTCCAACAGGGAGGAATAGGCCAGAAAAAAGGAGAAACAGACCCCACTCAAATCCGAAACTCAGCAGGGCAGACATTAAGTCTTAAAGCTCCAAAATAATCTTCTTTGATTCCTAGTCCTGCATCCTGGGCACAATTGGGCATTTGGACTCCCAAAACCTTGGGCAGCCCAACCACCACAGCTCTGCCAGATACAGCCCAGTGGGCTGCGCTGGTGCCTGTGGCTTTTCCAGGCCAGTTGTTGCACATTGCCAGTGGCCTTATACTGGGGCTGCCTGCCACTTTCCACCATGAGTAGAAACAGCCTGAGGCCCGTACCAGATGCAACTGTCTCAGAATCGTAAGCCAAATAAACCTCTGTTCTTTATAAACTACCTAGTCTCAGGTATTTCTGTTATAGCAGCACAGAATGGACTAATACTATGGTATTTTCATGTTTCTCAGCTTGGGCCTCTTCTTTTCCTCTGTTCTTCAATTTTGTAGCTTTGTGTCTATCCTCACTAACTACTCCTTATTTCTTTCATTCAGTCTCTATCAAATCAAAGCAACATACTCAACCGTTTTTTTTCCCCCACTTTAGGCTGTCCCTGAAATCAGTCAACGCATTAAGGCCCTGAACCAGAAAAGGGCAGCTTCTGGGCTGCCTCGCATTCTTGTGCACACAGACGCTGCACAGGCATTGGGGAAAAGGCGTGTGGACGTGGAGGACCTGGGTGTGGACTTCCTTACGATTGTAGGGCACAAGGTACATCTCCAAAGGCCTCTACTCCTCCTGGAGGAGGGGAAGGGAAGGTGCCTTGTTGGCTTAAGGCCCTCATTAGAGCAGAATCCACAGCACCATTGATAATTCAGTTTTCAATCTAGTTAACCTTCAATCCAGTGCCTCCCATGAGCAAGGACCTGGGGCATTCACACAAATCCTGTCCTCAGGAGCTTTAAGAAGGGAAGACCAATGGCAGCCAGGAAGCCATTTGACAAGTGTCATGACAGGGATAATGGGGACACCTCAACCATATGGAGCAAAGCTGGTGGAGGCCTTGAGGTATAAGGGGAGAATGTAAGGCTGGTGGTCCTGGCTAGGTAGTGAGTGTTCTCTACAGCAGGGAGAGCACATGCAGAGGCCTCGTCGGCCCCCACAGAGACCCCCCCCCAGGACAGGAGATGCAGGGTTCAAGAAGTTGGTGCTTTCTTTTACTTGGTTTGAAATGTGGCTTGTCAGCATAAAGGTTTAGTTTTAGCAACTCTTATCTTTAAGGTGGAGTATGGGGAAAATAGTTAATAGCAAGGTGCTTTCTGAAGCTTTTGCTTATCTTTCTGGCCACTGACTAGGACCTGAAATATTTTTAGTAGTCAATTTTGAAGCGCAATCTTTAGCTAGTTTCCAAAGGAGTGTATATGCTGGCTTGACACTGTGGCACTTAAAAGTTTTGTATCCTATGAATTAGAAATGTGGAATCATATGCAGGAAATGCCCTGGGCAATTTCTAGTTACAACCCCTCTCCTTTTACAAATTCTGCCACATGATGTGCAGGGGAGTTCTGCCCACAGAGTTTTGCAGAGGTGAGAATGGAAGTTCAGCACCTGCCCTGCCTCAGGCTGGGGCCCTGCCCTGCACCCAAAGGCTTTTGTGACTCTGGAAGCACCAGGACTGTACATTACAGAGTATTCTTCTGTATGCCTCTAAGCACTTAGCATATATACAGGGTAGGAACTTGGAAAGTTCTTGTTGACTAAATGACTGATTTTCTATTCCAGTTCTATGGTCCCAGGATTGGTGCACTTTACGTACGAGGGCTTGGTGAACTTACCCCTCTATACCCTATGCTGTTTGGAGGTGGACAAGAATGGAATTACAGGCCTGGGTAAGGTAGAAAGTTAAAGTCTCTGACCTACTGGCCATGACATTTGTCTGTAGAGCAGTGACATTTTAAAAGAAACATTCTGCTGTTTCTTCTGTTTCTTGGAAGTACTGTGATAGCATAGTTCACATCACTACTAAATCAGAATTGGCTCTACTGATAAATTTCTACACTTAGGACTCACAAGATCTGTAGTTTCTTTGGGAATGATTCAAAGCTGTTAAAGGAAATCTCTGCTGCTTTTGATTGCATCAGAGCATCCAATTCCCCCTGTATTTTGGCCCATCCTACTAAAGGGATGCTACCAGACCTTTTGTGGCTGAGATGTGCTGCTATTCTCTTAACTGTGGGGATCAGGGGGCTATGTAGGCACACCCTGGTTTCTTTTCTGATAGCACCTGTGTCCCCAGTATGTGCAGTACTGTTGTAATCGGGAAGTTAATTGGAACCAGCATCACACTTTTTGTCAGACACTTTATAAGAAGAGGGAGAGACTGGAAACTTGGTGGTAAGTTCTCTGGGTTTTCTTTTTGCCTCATATATCCCACACTTAGAGCTGAAGAAGCCAACAATCCAGACCACCAGTAAGGGCAGACAGAAAATGCTCCAACTAAAGCTTGCTCATTCTAGCCAACAGACCAGGAAAGAGATCGCCTAGCAAGACAGAAAACTTTTAGACAAAACCTGCTTTACTCCAGCCAATTACCACAGAGAAAACTGTGCTGCCACTCCTACCCACAGCAACAAAGGCCAAGACTTCCACCCACACAGGCTGTAATGAGACACCCCATAACTCCCCCATGCGTGTCAGAGAAGGCCAACTGGGGAACCAGGACTTTCACCCCTGCCAGTCAGTTATGAGGCACCCCCACCATTGTCTCAGTAGAGACCATATGAGGGCCCTGGATGTCCACCCACACCCGTCAGTAACAAAGAACTTCCTCCCTCGGGGTGTCAACACAGCTGAGTAAGGAACCTGAACTCCTACCTCCACATGGCAGTAATGAGGAGGCACACTCTTTCCTCTGCAAGTTCACTGTCAGAAAAGCCAACAAAAACCAAAAGGTTAATTAAGATACAGACTCTTATAATTTGAAAACGTTCACGTTTCAGTAGAAAATCATTTGTCATATCAAGAGCCAGAAAAGTCTCAAATTGAAGGAGTGGAGATAATCGATTGATGTCTACACTGAGATGACAAAGATGTTGGAATATCTGACAAATACTTTACAACAGACACAATAAAAATGTTCAGTGAGAAATTATGAACATAAAACAAATGAAATGAAAGCACCAGCAAAGAGAAAGAAGATGTAAAGAAGAACCAAATGGAAATTTTAAAACTAAAAATTATAATAACCAAAATAAAAAGCTCAGTGGATGGGCTCAGCAGCAGAATGGAAGGACGAAGGAAGGAGCCAGTGAACTGAAAGGTAGAACAGTAGAAATCTGTGCAGCAGAGAGGAAATAGACTGGGAGAAAAATGGACAGAGCTTCGGGGACCTGTGAGACTGTAACAAACGATATAACATTCATTTCACTGAAGTCCCCAAAGAAGAGGAGAAAGAGGACAGGGTACTAAAAATGTGCTCAAAGAAACAGTGGCTGAAAAACTTCCCAAATTTGGCAAGACACATAAACCTACAGGTTCGAGAAACTGAGCAAATTACAAGTAGGATAAACTCAGAGAAATCCATGCCAGGACATAGAATTAAACTTCTAAAAATGAAAGACAGAAAAAGCTCTTGAAAGCAGTCAGAGAAAAATGACACCTTACCAGTCGAGGAAAAACAATTTGAATGACAGTGGATTTCTCATCACAAACCATAGGGACCAGAAGAAAGTAGCACAGTGGTTTTTAAGTGCTCAAAGAAAACTGTTAAGCTAATAACCTAAATTCAGAAACCATATCCTTCAGGAATATATTATCAGATGAAGAAAAACGAAGAGAATTTGTCACCAAAGAGGAGAAGGAAATACTTACAATAATTATATAAAGACAAAGGTAAAGGGACATAAAAAGAGATAAGGTTTCCATACTTGAACTGTTAAGATGACTGAAGTTTGGGGTAGTGGGTTTTTTGGGGGTTTTGTTTGTTTGTTTGTTTGTTTGTTTGTTTTTTGTGGCTGGGCAGTGTAGGGATTCAAATCCATGATCTTGGTCTTATAAGGCTGCATTCTAACCAACTGAGCTAACCAGCCAGCCAGACTGTGACAAGTTTTATAAACACGTATAATGTAGTACCTATAACAGTCACTAAAAAAACTATACAGAGAGACAGATATTCAAATACAGTATATATAAATCAAAACCAAATTCTAAAAAATGGTAACTCCTAGAAAGGCATGAAAAAGAAAACAGAATCAAATAAACAGAGCAAACAGAACACAAAAAGTAAAATGGCAGACTTAAAGCCCTAACATATCTGTAATTACATTGAGTGTAAATGGTCTAAATATACCAGTTAAAAGCAAGAGATTAGGGCCGGCCCGGTGGCGCACTGGATAGTGTGCCGCTTGGGAAGTGCGGCGGCGCTCCCGCCCGAGGGTTCGGATCCCACATGCAGACCAGTTCCCGCTCACTGGCTGAGCGAGGCACGGGAGCAACACCGAGGGTTGTGATCCCGTTCCCGGTCCCCGGTCCGGTACGGGGGCAACACTGAGGGTTGCGATCCGTTGCCGGACACGGAAAAAGACAAAAGACAAAAAAAAAAAAAAAGCAAGAGATTAGCAGAGTGAATTTTTAAAAAGCTGGCTGGTTAGAGTATGGTGCTGATAATGCTACAGTCTAAGGTTTGATCTGTGTATCAGCCAGCTTCCAAAAAGAAAAAAATACCCAACTCTATGCTATCTACAAGAAACTCATTTCAAATGTAGTGATAGAGACAGACTGAAAGTAAAAGGTGGAAAAAAACCACATCACACAAATATTAAAAGAAAAGCAAGAGTGGTTGTATAATATTAGATAAAGTAGATTCAAGAGTAAAGAAAATTACCAGAGACAGAAAAGGGACATTATTTCATGATAAAAGGGTCAATCCACCAAGAAGACATAGCAATTGTAAATGTGTAAGGACTAAACAACAGCAGTGTGAAATATATGAAAAAGAAACTGATGGAACTGAAAAGAAAAATAGATAAATCCACAATTATAGTTGGAGACCTCAACACCCTTCTCTCAGTAATGGATAGAATAACTAGACAGAAAATTAACAAGGTTATAAAAGAACTAAAGACACCATCAACCAACAAGATGTTTAGAACATCAACATGTTTAGAACACTCCACCCAGCAACAGTGAAATACACATTATTTTCCATTGCCATGGGATATATACTAAGATCATATTCTATGCCATTAAATGAACCCAAATAAATTTAAAAGAATTGATATTATACAACGTGTGCCTCTGACCACACTGGAATCAAACTAGAAGTCAGTAACAGAAAGATAATAGGAAAATTTCTGAATACTTAGAAACAACTTCTAGAAATACTTCTAAACAACCCATGGGTCAAAGAGGAAGTCTCAAGAGGGTTAAATAAATACATTGAACTGAATGAAAATACAACAAATCATGAACTTCAAGGTATGAGAATGAAAAAAAAACAAAATATATCAAAACTTGTGGGACACAAAGGGAAATTTATAGCACTAAATGAATGTTAGAAAAGAGGGAAAATCTCAATAATATAAGCTCCCACCTGAAGAACCTAGAAAAAGAAGAGCAAAATAAAACCAAAGCAAACAAAAAAGGAAATAAAGATAAGACAGAAGTCAATGAAATTGAAAACAGAAAAAAGAAAATTAGTGAAACAAAGAGCTGGCTCTTTGAAAAAAAAATCAATAAAATTGATAACCTGTAACAAGACTGACCAGAAAAAGAACACATAATCTCAGGAACGAAACAAAGGATATCATTACAGACAGCAGAAATCAAAAGGGTAATAAAGGAATGCTATGAACACTTGTACCACATATAAAGATGACAACTTAGATGAAATGGACCACTTCCTCAAAAAACACAAACTACCACAACTCACTTATGAAATAGATCATTTGAATAGCTCTATAACTATTACAAAATTGGATTTGTAAATTAACTTCCTCAATAAGAAATCTCCAGGCCTGGATGGTTTCACTAGAGAATTCTGCCCAATGTTTAAAGAAGAGTTAAAACCATTTCTATACAATCTCTTCCAGAAAATAGAAGAGGAGGGGACACTTCCCAGTTTATTTTATGAAGCTAGTATTACCCTGATACCAAACCCAGACAAAGACAGTACAAAAAAATAAAACTACAGACAAATATCCTCATGAATTTAGATGCAAAAGTTTTTGACAGTGTTGCTTTGTGTTGCTTTGCCCCGCCACGCATTTGTCACCCCACTTCCCCTGGGTGATGGAGATGAAAGGATTACTCAAAGCCCATCTCTTCTGAGCAGTGAGAGGCCCCGAAGTGGTTAATCTCCTGGAACCCTCAAGAGAGAGGGATCCGTTCCTTGGGAAATTAACACCGAATTGGGCTTCTCTTCCTGCATTTATTTTCCAGACCAGGAAGTTATAGGAAGAGAACAAAGGTGGGGTTATAGTTTAACAGTATAGGCTGGTAACTTTCAGTGAAACAAGCCAGATGACATTCCAGTAGACAATTAAGTGGTCCTATCAACAGCAGCTTGATCTTAGCAAACATTCCTTTTTAACAGCAATTTCTCAGTATCTTTACATAACAATCAGTAATTAGTCTATGAGCCAGCAACCTGCTGTGCCACAATCCTTATCTTGCAACAGAGACTTATAGCCTGAGGGAAATTTCCAGTCCTCCGTAAGGTCAGTATTTGAAACTGCCAGGCTTTGGAAAACCAGGCCCTGTGAAGTACATATGCTTTTTTTTTTTTTTTTTTTTTAAAAGGATGACCGGTAAGGGGATCTCAACCCTTGGCCTGGTGTTGTCAGCACCACGCTCAGCCAGTGAGCAAACTGGCCATCCCTATACAGGATCCGAACCTGTGGCCTTGGTGTTATCAGCACCACACTCTACCGAGTGAGCCACGGGCCGGCCTGAAGTACATATGCTTTATAGTATGTTCCACATGACAGAATGTTAGCAAATAGAATTCAGCAATACATAAAAAGACCATGACCAAATGGAGTGCTGTGTGTTGAATTGTGTCCCTGAAAGACCATGAATTGGAAACTTAACCCCCACTGTGACAGTTTAAGGGAGTGGGAAATCCTATTATGGTAGTTGAAAGGTGGGTGCCCTCGTAAATGGATTAAAAAGTTGATGGGTTGGGCCGGCCTGGTGGCGCACTGCTACAGTGCGCCGCTTGGGAGTGTGGCGGCGCTCCCGCTGAGGGGTCGGATCCCACATACAGACTGGTTCCCGCTCCCTGGGGGGGCAAGGGGCGGGCGCGACACCGAGGGTTGCGATCCCGTTGCCGGTCCAGTCCAGTACAGGCGCGACACTGAGGGTTGCGATCCGTTGCCGGACACGAAAAAAGACAAAAAGGAAAAAAAAAAAAGTTGATGGGTTAATGGTGGTCACGGGCATGGTTCTGAGGATTTTTAAAAGGAGAGCCAGTGAAGAGGGTAGTCTCTCTAGCTCCCCGGTTCACCATGGGAAAGCCCATGTAAAGTCCTAATCAGATGTGTTCCCTGGACTTTGAACTTCACAGTTTCCAAAACTATAAGCAATAAGTTTTGTTTCTTTACAAATTACCCAGTTTCGGGTATTTATGTTATAAGCAACAGAAATGGATTAATACATGAAGTTTACTCGAATGATGCAAAGCTGTCTCAATATTTAAAAATCAGTCCATGTAACCCACCATTTAACAGGCTAACAAAGAAGAAAAATAACATGATCAAATCATTTGATGCAGAAAGAGTATTTGATAAAAGTTAACAGTCATTCATGTTAAAAACTCTCAGAATAATAGGATGAGATGGGAACTTCCTCAAATGAAAAGAGCATCTATGTAAAACCTACAGCTAACATTGTATTTAATGGTGAACGCCTAAGGGCTTTACCCCTATGATTGGGAACAAGGCAGGTTGTCTGCTGTCACTACACTTATTCAGCATACTGCTGGCATTTCTAGTCAGTGCAGTAAGGCGAGAAAAGAAAGTAAAAGGTACACAGATCAGAAGGGAAGAGGAAAAACTGTCCCTAATCAGATCACATGATTGTCTGTGTTGAAAATCCCAAGGAATGTGCAAGAACTAATAAGTGAGTACAGCAAGGTTGCAGGACACAAGATAAACATGCAGAAATTCGCTGTATTTTTATATACCAGTAATGAACAGATGGACGATAAAATAAAAAATACAATAAATACCATTTATAATCAAACAAAACTACTCAGATATAAATCTAAGAAAATGTATAGAACTTGTATGCTGAACACTACGCAATGTGGATGAAAGAAATCATAACGAAGATCTGAGTGGAGAGACACACCAAGTTCATGGACTGTAAGATGCAGCATAGTAAAGACGTCAGTTCTCCCCGAATTGATATACAAGCCTCACAATTTCTGCCCAAATCCCAGCAAGTTCATCAGTAGAACAGAAAAGACACAAGAAGTATGCCCAAACATTTTTTTTTCCTTTTTGTCTTTTTTACTGACCGGTAATGGGATCGCAACCCTTGGTGTTGTGCCCGTACCGGGGACCGGCAACGGGATCGCAACCCTCGGTGTTGTGCCCACACCGCGCTCAGCCAGTGAGCGGGAACCGGTCTCCACATGGGATCCGAACCCTCAGCGGGAGCGCCACCGCGCTCCCAAGCGGCGCACTCTCCAGTGCGCCACCAGGCCGGCCCATGCCCAAACATTTTTGACAGAGCTGCAGATCACTCCAACGGAGGAAAGATTGCCTTTCAACAGCTGGTGGCAGAGCAGCGAGACATCCATAAGCAAAAAATGAACCTTGATCTATGTCTCACAACTTATGAAATATGAACTTAAAATAGACCATGAAATTAAATGTGGAACATAAAACTCCAAAACTTTTAGGAAAAAAGTAGAAAATCTTTAGGATCTAGGACCAGGCAAAGAGTTCTTAGCCTTGACACCAAAAGCATGACCCATAAAAGGAAAAAATTTTTAATTGGGCTTCAAAATTTAAAATTTTTGCTCTATGAAAGACCTTCTTAAGAAGATGAAAAGATGAGCTACACAGTAGGAGGAAACATTTTCAAATGACAGATCCTGGAAAGGGCTAGAATCTAGAACATACGAGTATAAATAACTCATGAAACTCCACAGCAGAAAAACAATTCAATCAGAAACTGGGCAAAAGACATAAAAACGTTTCACCAGAGGGTACGCAGATAGCAATAAGCACATGAAAAGATGTTCAACAGCATTAGTTATTAGGGAAATGCAAATGAAAGCCCCAATGAGATACCACTGCACACCTATCAGAATAAGTGTAAAACAAAACAAAAGTAGTGACAGCACCGGATGCTTGTGAGGATGCAGAGAAAGCGTCACCTATTGGCTAGCAGCAGCCAAACTTAGATTAAGAAAATTATTAAGTTAATGCTTTGTTTTTTCTGAAAAAAAAGTTCCTGAAAATGCCCACACACGCACACACACAAGCACTTTCTTGCTGGTGCTGGACCTCTCTAGCACAAAGGACTCTCCCCTGTCCCATGTTACACTGTCATGTCACCTCTCCCAGGGTGATGGAGATGCAAAGGGTTACTCAAAGCCCATTTCTCCTCGGGGCCGGCCCGGTGGTGCACTGCTACAGTGCGCCGCTTGGGAAGCGCGGTGGTGCTCCTGCCGAGGGTTCGGATCCCACATACAGACCGGTTCCCGCTCACTGGCTGAGCGAGGGGCAGGCACAGCGCCGAGGGTTGCGATCCCGTTGCCGGGCCCGGTCCGGTGCGGGCGTGACACTGAGGGTTGCGGTCCGTTGCCGGACACAAAAAGAGACCAAAAAAAAAAAAAAAAAAAAGCCCATTTCTCCAGAGCAGTGAGAGGCCCAGAGGGGTTAATCCCAGGAAATTCTTTCAAGCAAGAAGAATTCCTAGGAAATAACCCCGAATGAAGTTTTCTCTCCGGCAAGAAAGTTACAGAAAAGGAACATAGGTGGTTACATAAAAAAAATGAGATAATCATCATGGCAACACTTAGTTTCCCAAGAAACTTAAAGAAACAGCTGAAGACAAGATGAGGAACATCCCCCAACCAGCAGCCTCGAAGCCTTTAGTCCACACACTTTCCCATCATTAGGTTTAGCTGCACCAAGCACGACTGTCCTTGGAGCAAGCATTTTTGCTGTGTTACAGTTTTTTTTATCTACAACAGAGACTTTAGTCCTGGGAAAGTTTTCTGTTTTTCCCAAGCTTAGCATTTCTATGTGCAATTCTAAAAAGTTAGGCTATTCCTAAAACTGAGGGGCTTTGGCCCTGCTAAAACTACATTCGCTTTATTAACGTTGGTGCCCTCCACACTGTCATCTGAAGGGAACAGTGTTGGGGATGAGCTCTGGGACTCTTCCTGGTTTGGCAGTGGGGACCAAAGAGGTGTGCTTTTGGGGCCCACGGGAGGAGGGCTTTCTCTGTGTAGGATCGGATCCACATGGAATTGTCACCGTGGACACCCAACGTATGTTGCCCATAGTGGGCCATGTTGACCGTCACGGCCCCAGACGAGTAAGAACCTTGCATGGAAAGTTTGGGGGCCTGCCAACCCACTGTGGCAATTGTGTGGCACATGTTGAGGGGAAATGGTGTGATTTTGTTTGTATTTTAACACAGTGATTTTCATGTAGACAGGATTCCTTCCTGGGGCATTTATTTATTCTTGCTAAACCCTGGTCTCTTACAGGACAGAGAACACCCCAATGATTGCTGGCCTTGGGAAGGTAAGCCATGGCAACCTGGAGCAGATGCTCCCGTCTCTTTGTCATCAGTTTCCCCAGCAGCTTTAGTAGGAGCCCAGGGCTAAATGGACTAAGAAAAAGCCTAGAACTTTATCCACCTGGAGGACTGTACTTCCTGAGATCTGTAGGGTGGGTTGCACATGCTTAGCATCTAGAAGGATGAAGCTCATTGTCTCTTCTAATATGAGAAGCACCATGACATCACCCCAGCAAGACAGAGTCAGGCCCATGCTTTGCTTGCTCCCACAGCTGTCGGCAGCCCCTGCACCACCGGCTCTGTCCCCAGTTTACCTGTGGGGTTGGAGGCCACCGTGGTCCAGTATAGCACCCATTGCCAGCTCTCCACTGGGGCGTGGAGCAGAAACTACTGGAGCCGAGGCTTCCTGATGTGGAAGCCGGGGTGCCAGCTACACCCGGGTGTTTGCACATGGGCTCTGCTCAGAGGCCGCTTCCTCCAGGCAGCCCCCCCATGAGCCACATCCACAGTAGCCTGTCCATGTCCCTCACTGTCACTCTCTGCTCCCACCCTGCTGTATTTTCCCCAGTTGATGTTATATATCTATATGTATACCGCCCCCCACCAACGTCCCCTGAGAGGGGCTCCTCAGTGCCATAAGCGGGGACTTGGCCTTGTCTGCCTCAGTATCCCCAGTACAGAAGGGCTGGGCACATCGTAGGCCCTTGGGAAGAGTATGAAGGAATTTACTGCTACTCAGAATACTCAAAATTGTATTCTTCACTGGCTACAGTTGCATTTAAGCATTGCACTGTGATAACTAAGGCTGCATTTACTAGAGGGAAGGGTGTTAAGTGGGAGTCCAGCACCTGCCCCCAGCTGAGCCAGTGATGAAGTGTGATGAGGCCCCCCGCTTGGAAATGCCCTGGGTTCAGATTCCGGCTCAAGGCGTCACTTGCCTGCACCTTGGGCCAAGCCCCTCAACCTGCAGGACGGGCATTACAGCAGCGTCCTAAGCCAGGGCTCACAGCCCCCCTCCTGTGGATGCACCTGCACCCATAACTGTGCAGATGCCCGCGGCTCGGCCTTGGCCCCAGCACCGCCCCTGCCCCCCAGCAGTTCTCCAGCCTCACTCTGGACAGAGCTCTCTCCCTGCCTAGGCTGGACTCCATCCATGCAGGCGGCCATGTCAAGGTCCCTTCAGCTTTACGTCCCTTCCCTCTGCCCACTTGAGAAGAGCCTGCTGTGGTTGTCCCCTCTGGCATGTCATCACTTTCTTCTTTACTGGAATGTTCCCCCATCCTTCAACGCCTCCCTCCCAGGCCCTGTATCCCACTCTCTCCCCACCTTCCCTTTTATCCTCAGGGCCAGTCAGCCTTCCACTTCCTCCCTGAAGCTTGCAGAGGAGGCCCCAGCCACACCCTGTGGTCATGTCCCCTGGGCACGTCCCTGCCCTCAGCCTTCCGCAGCACTGGCCGTGACTGGGCACCAGCTGCTGTCGGGATACCCTCTTCTCCAGCTTGCCCTCCACAGCTGTTCCCTTCCCCCCTCGTTACCAGTTGGCGCTCTTCCTACACCCATTCTGGCCCCGGGCTGCACAACCAGCCTGTGCTCATGACTTTGAACTTTCTCCTGGGAGACCCACATCCCAGCTGCTTCCTGGACGTTTCCTCTGGGTGTAAAACTTGTCCTGATCTCTCTCTGTCCTGCCCTCTCGCCCCGAGGTACCTCCCACCATCCAGGTTCTCACTTCAGAAATCTAGGAGCTGTCCTTGGTCCCTTCCTTGTCCTTGTCCCCTGCACCTGGTGCAGCAACCAGGCCTGTCTGTTCTGCATCCAGAGTATATCAGGGACCTGCCTCTTGTCGTTTTCATGGCCCCCAACCCTAGACAAGTTGTCCCCATCTGGTGCTGGATGCCAGCTGCAGCCAGAATGATCGTTAAATGTGCAAGTCATATCATCTCGTCCCCTACTCAGAATCTAATTGCATTTGCCCTGTTGCACTTACATTCAGATCCAGCTCGTCACTGGGCCTGCGGGGCCCGCAAATCTCTCTGTCCCTCTCCCCCTCCCTCACTCTCTATCTGCTACACTGGGTCCCCATCCCAGGGACACAGCTGTCTGTCCCCCTGCAGGGCCATTGCTGGAAAGTGCTTCCTGCCCTGGCACGCTCTGTCAACCCTCCCCCATATGGCCCTCTCGGTCCCTCCACGGCACTGACACCGTTGGTGTGAGTCTGTTCCCCTGGCCCCTTGTTTTGGTCTGTCTCTCTGCCTCTGGAACGTAGGTTCCTTGAGGAGTGGGATCCCGTGGGGGCTTATTGTGCCAGAGCAATCAGGAAGTCCCTGTGAATAAACTTGTACAAGCAGAGGCAGCCTTCCCAGCACGCATTGTGTCCCCACACGTGGTCGGCACTCAGAAAATACCTCTGCTTCCAATGCTCTGGAGAGTGAGCAGCTTGAGGACACGTCGCCCTCAGCAGGAAGCATCACCTGTGCTGTTTGTGGCTTTGTTGGTGCCTCTGTTTTGCAATGGTGAGTGAGCTTCCATGCACTGGTGTCTGTGTCCCCAGGCCGCGGAGCTGGTCACCCAGAACTGCGAGGCTTACGAGGCCCACATGAAAGACGTTAGAGACTACCTGGAGGAGAGGCTGGAGGTTAGTGCTGTGCGGGATGGGACATGGTGGTGCAGGATGCGGCACCTGTGCTGACGGGGATGCAGCACGGAGGTCGGGAATGCAGAAGGTATGGAGGAAAGAGAGGGAGGGGTTCAGTGCTGAGAAGGAAGTTGGAGTCAGAAACCCCCAAAACCGGACCGAGACCAAGTCAGTACCAGAGATAGTTATTCAGTGATTGTATGTAGACAGTACATAGATATTCAGAACATTTCTTTTTTCTCCTAACTAACTTTGCTTTCTACAGTCAGTCTCCTTAACTATTATAGGCAGATGCTTGTCAATAAGGTAAATGTTTATACATTGAGGTTTTGTTTCTAGAAAAGTCTAAAGTTCAAACAGTTGCTGGTGGGGAGGGGAAGGGTCTTTGAAGCTGTCACCGAATATTTCATTTATTTTTTTTCAGACTGAATTTGATAAGAGAATCCATTTGAATAGCCAGTTTCCAGGGACTGAGCGGCTTCCCAATACCTGTAACTTTTCCATCCGGGGACCCCAGCTTCAAGGTGACTGCCTGTCCCCTCTCAGTCTCTCCATGGTGTGCACTGCACCTGTGCTGCCTGGACTTGGCTCTAGGCCACGCACCATGGGCCGCCCGAGCATGACACGGCTGGTGGTGTCAGAGAGTGCTTGCCCCGATGAGCCCAGTCTAGCGCAGACGGCAGAGTGGCCCCATCGGCCGGCTGTTCTGTGGTCCACTGGGGCTCCTGTCACCAGCATCTTCTGTCCCTGGCTTTGCTCCTTTCACTGACGCTTTGGATGTGGATGGTGCTTGGTGCTGACACCGGTCAGCAGCACCGACCCGCAAGCTGTTAGGGAAGGAAATAAAAGTAGCTGAGTTTTAGACTAGCTTGCCCGTTTTTGTTAGCAGTTTTTATAAGATACTTTATGAGAGTGAGGGAAGTAGAGTCAGTCCACGTTAGACACTGGCTGCGGGAACGCATGAAGTGCAAACCCGCAGATTTCATTTGTTCCTGCCACGTCTGCCTCCCACGCGAAGTGGTCGGGGCTTCTCCTGCCCCAGATGCGTGTGAAATGTGGCTGCCCTGGTCCCCTGAGAGCTGGAGTGCAGCACTGACCAGCCGGGTGTCATTTGGGCGGAGGTCATGGCCCTGAGACCTCAGATGAGCTGCGTCTGCAGGCCGGGTTCAGGCTCCTGAGCAGAGGAGGGTGTTGCCTCCTTTGTCTTCCTGGGTTATGCAGAGAAACCTGGTGGTCACACTTGAACACGAAGAAGAGCCCTGGGGTGACTGACCTGTGGCTGTGTGAGCGTGAGCGTGGCTGGCGGGGAGGGGTGGGCTCCTCTGTGGTCCCGTCAGACCCATTGCCACACGTGGAAAGTCCCTCTATCATCTTTCCCGTGTTTTCTGGGGGCAGACTGTGAGATCTGGGATGGCCCGTGTTGACTTAAATGAGACAGCTCCTCATTTTATTTACATCAGCAGTTGTTGAATTTTTAAATGTTTCCTCTCTGTGCTTGTGAAAGAGAGAAACGCCTCCTGGCTTAGAGAACTTCCGAGTGTCCCTCCCTTAGAAAAGACAGGTGTAAATTTAAATATTACCAGGGCAACAAGCTGCTAAGAAATGCAGCCAGTCGGAATTCCTAGTGTCTGACAGAAAGTGATTAGAAATACTGTTTTCCAGGCCAGTCTTATGAGGCAGAATAGCGACTGCTTCCTGTTGTGAGCCTGTCACTGTGGCCTGGAGCGGGGGGAGGAGGCCTGAGGGGCTCAGGAGGCAAGGAAAGGGTACAGCAGGTGGCCCAGGGCCCTCACCCAGTCTCAGGGGCGTGTGCTCTGTCTCTGCAGGCCGCCTGGTGCTCGCACAGTGCCGGACGCTGCTGGCCAGTGTGGGAGCCGCATGCCACTCGGACCATGGGGACCGGTAAGTGCTCCTCACCACATCCAGCACTCAGGCAGAGGCAGAGGGCACCGAGCAGCAGAGCTGTGGAGGAAGAGGAGTGTCACGAGTGGTGGGAGGTCGGGTTGCAGCCGGATGAAGGGGCCAGGGCTCCCGGGGAGGGCAGAGCCACAATTAGCAGCAGATGGTCCCTCAGGGCTGGCGCTGGTGGCCAGAGTCACCATCAGGAGCAGCAAGGCCGTGGCCATCCTGGGTGCAAAGGAGGGGTGGGAGGTGCGGAGGGGAGGGCAGGCATGTGGGGGCTGCCCCTGACTGCACTGAGGTGGCCATTGCCCACAGTGCTCATCATGGCCCTGTGAGGGAGTTTCTGTGAGTAGCCCATTTCTCAGATGAGAAAGCTGAGGCACAGAGTGGTCAAGCTGGCAGGTACAGGGTCTGTGGTCTTAACAGCCATAGAGCTGAGGAGAGGAGGCTTGGGGGTAGGGGAGAGGCTGGCTATACAGCTGGGAAGGGCCAAGGGCCCTTGAGGGTAGGAGGGAAAAGGGGAGGCAGACCTCACAGCTCTTGCTGCAGGAAGCGGGGGCACCCTCTGATGGCTTCTGTGCCCGCCTGGAACAGAAAGCAAGGTCACCCTCCCCCCAGGTTGGGAGAGGCTTAAGGTGGTGGGGGAGGGGCTAGGCTGGGCCAGAGCCCACAGGAGTGTCCTTAGAGCTTGGGGGACCTGGTTGAGGGCCCCTCTATGCAGGGCCCAGCTGCCAAGGGGGTTTGGGGGGCAGGTCACAGGCTTGAGGCTGTGCCCTCCTGGTCCTGCCTTCACCCAGGACATGACTCAGCTGTGGGGGCTAGAGGCGGTGAGCGCACCCTCTCAGCTAGACTGCAGCAAGGACGGATGTTGCATTGTCATAGTGAGGGGCAGGTGTGCTGTGGCCAGCCCCGGCCGTCCTGCTTCAAGGATGCCTCCCACACAGTGGCTGGCCGGGCCCCTAGTGTGTGCAGCAGCTACCCAGCTGGCTCGGGCATGACTGTGAGAGCTGAGGCACTTTGCCTTATCCGTGAAGGACAAGAAAGCCCTGGGTCCCAGGGTTCAGCGCCGAGCAGGACACAGCTGACTGCCGGGACAGCCTCCACACTGCAGGGGAGAGGGGCTAAGTGTGTGAGGGGGTGCAGCCCCGAGCTCTGAGCATGAGCAAACCTGGGGTGGGGACTGGGGACAGAGTCTGAGCCAGACCTTGAGCTGTGGGTGGGCTAGGGGAGTCCAGCGGGGAGAGGATGGGTTGGGGGTGGTGTGGGGGACACGGAGCCAGGCTGGCAGGTGGGCCCTGGGGTGACACAGCCCCAACTTGGGGACTTGGCTGGGAGCATCCGGGACAGCATCTCTTCCCAGTGCCCAAGGAGCACCGAGAGCACTCCCCCTGGCGGCAGCTGACCCCAGTCTCCTCACCCCTCCAGGCCGTCCCCAGTGCTGCTGAGCTGTGGCATCCCCTTCGATGTGGCCAGGAACGCGCTCCGGCTCAGTGTGGGCCGCAGCACCACCAGGGCCGATGTGGACCTCGTCGTGCGGGACCTGAAGCAGGCTGTGGCCCGGCTGGAGGGCCAGGCCTAGAGCCGGGGGCTGCCCTGCCACGCAGTGAGGACACAGCCCGGCCACTTCGCTCATAGGAAGCGCTTTGCAGGCGCCAGCGCTCACCTCCGTCCCCTCCTGGGGGCAGCTCCACAGTGACCGACTTCTCTCTCCATTTTCATTCTGTGCTGCAGTGTCTGAGTGCTGGGCAGTTTGTGCGTGTGCCCTGGGCTTGCTCCCCTGGACACAGTGTGCCTGCACACAGACCCCGTGCAGTCCTCACACACTCAGGACACCAATGCCCACCTAGGACCGTTCTGTCCCCTGCTGCCAAATGGCGCAGGTTGAAGTGGAAACACTTGGGCCACGTCCGCACTCCCCTCTGGGGATTGGGCAAGCCCGTTGTGAGCACACTTCCTGGAAGGTGGTGTTTTTATGCGGAATATAAAATTCATGTATTTATAATTCATTGTCAGTTGATGGCCATGATGAAAATAGGAAACTTGATTTTTTTGCTTTGATTGTGGCCTCCCACGCACACATTTGCTGATGGGCCGCCCCCAGGGCCCTTCCCAAGCCCCGTCTCAGTGCTGCCTCTGTCAGCCCTGCCACACCGTCCTTCTCTGACCTCAGTGTACGGTGACCCCAGCTGAGTGGTGGCTGCCTCAGGCCGCGCCCTGCTCTCTGCTCAGTGGCCACTGCCCTTCCCACATCACCGACCTCGTCCACATCAGGACGCATTCCTGGCAGATGAGCACCTGTCCTACCCGCCATCCCTTGGTGCCGTAGGTCACCGTGTGCTTCCCCACCCAAAGGCACCCAGGCCTCTCCCCTTTCTCCTTTGATCATTTACTCAGGGTTTCAATTCCAAAGTCGTTGGGTCATGGGGCAGCCGGTGCTCCTGGGATTCTGGGTCATTCCTGTGGTGGGAAATCAGATCATCCCTAACTCAACTTTCATCTTAACTTTATTTGCAAAAGGATTCTTTTATCTTCATAAAATGTCTTGCATTCTGACATACATCAAACATCAATATTTACATAGGAGTGATTATCAATGGAATATGTAATGTGTGGTTTTAAGTACAGAGAACTACATGGTGACATTGAGGACATAATTGTCAGAAATTAACTAATAAAAGATTTCCGTGCTTGCTCAGGCATGCTGTGGTTTTTCTAGTGCGCGCTGCAGGCCTTCGGCCCAGCGCTGTTGGGGCCCGGGAGTGTCTGCGCCTGCGTGTGTGCCATGCCTCCTAGTTTACCATTGTAGAAGAGATTCAGCTTGAAATGGGAGCACCCAAAAGTAGGTCCCTAATCTGCAGCTTCCTGCTGCTCCCAGAAAGATGCTATGGCGGTCCTAATTTCCCTAGCAAAGAACTATGGGGTGTCCAGACCACTGACAAGAACAATCTGGAAAGAGATGCTCAGCAACTCTTAAAGAATGCACTTGGGACCTCTGGCTGCAGCCACAGAGGCTCGGTCACTGCAGCTGGAGAGGGCTGGGGAGGTGGGGTCTGAGGCCCTTGTTCTCACCTTGGCTTCCTGTCCAGCAGTCCCCTGGATATGTACCCAGTGTCAGGGCCTGTGCCCATCACAGGCCCTGCAGAGCCCCCAGCTTCCCCAGAGGTCCACAGGAGCCTCCAGGGCCTAGGGCCAGCTGCAGGCCAGGATCCAGGCAGATTCCCCAGGGGCAGGGGCCCTCAGCTCGCTGGGCAATGACACAGCCAACATGCATACCCTCACAGGGGCACCAGGTATCCCAGACATACTGGGCAAGTCTGCCCTTCCATGGATGTGGAGGAAAAACCTCCCGGGTAGTCCCCGCACGGCCGCTCAGAACTCCTACGAAAAACTTGGTGATCCTGTCCCCTCACCCTGCTGACGGGAGGGAGGCGCCAGGAGGAAGAGACAGGTTCCAGCCTCCTGGCAGCATCTGGGCCAGCAGTCGAGCCTCCCGCCTCTGCTAGCTGGCACCCATCCCCTGGCCTAAACTAGTACAGGCCGTTCCCCTGTGACCTGTGCCCACAGCAGCTCTGGGACCTGGCCTTCAGGCACCGTGGGAGTGGCTTGGGCTGGACCGTGAGGGCTGGTCCCCAGGCCTGCCCCTCTGCTGCCGCCTCCCATCTGCCCTGTGCACGGCTTATCGGGTAACCAGAGCCGGCAGCTGCGTCCACACCTGAAACAGGAAGCCCAGGACTGTGTATGAGCTGCTGCTGAGAGCCAGGGCCAGAGGATGGAGGGGCAGCGGGCGCTTGTGGCCGCCAAGGACGGGGATGTGGCCGCCTTGAAGCAGCTGCTAGAGGCTGGCACCCTGGGCCCGGGCATCACCGATGCGCTGGGGGCTGGCCTGGTACACCATGCCACCCGGGCTGGCCACCTGGCCTGTGTCAAGTTCCTGGTGCAGCAGGCCAAGCTGCCCAGCAACCAGCGGGCCCATAACGGGGCCACACCAGCACATGATGCTGCTGCCACAGGCAACCTGGCTGAACTGTGCTGGCTCATCCGCGACGGGGGCTGTGGTCTGCAGGTGAGCAGAGGCGGGGTGGGGGCTGTGGTCTGCAGGTGGAGTGAGGGAGGTGTGAGCCCAAAGGTCTGATCACAGGAGTGCTTGGCATTGCCAGTAGGAGTCTTGCCAGTGTTCAGGACCCCGTCTCTGATCAGGCCTGACTGACAGGAACTGTTTCCCAAAGAGTCTAGAAATGGGTCCATAAAGAGGTGCAGTAGGAACTTGGTGCAGGAGCCAGGGGCCCCAGGGGGCAGAGGGGCACTCACCCAGGCCCCTTTGTACAGGCACAGGCCTGCAGAGCTGAGCTTAACCTTGCTGAGTTCCCGGGAGGATGGGGAGCAGGGCTCTAACGGGCCTTAGGACACCCTCCTGGAGGCCAGTGTCAGAGTGGGGCTCAGAAAGACCCACTGGGGGCCGAGCCCGTGGCGCACTCGGGAAAGTGCGGCGCTGGGAGCACAGCAGCGCTCCCGCCGCGGGTTCGGATCTTATATAGGGATGACTGGTGCGCTCACAGCGCTCACTGGCTGAGCGCAGTGCAGCCGGTCTCAAAAAAGGACAAAAAAAAAGAAAGACACACTGGGACTCCCTGGCATGTGGCTCGTCAGAGCACTGAGCTGCTCCCGCCTTCATCAGCAGGTGGGAGCCGAGCCCGTTTCTTGACTCACCTCTGATCATGAGGCCCTTGGACAATGCCCAGGTCTGCTCCCTGGCCTGGAGGACCTGAGGCTGGCGGAGGGCACTGGAGGCAGGGAGGGGGGGCAAAGGCCCAGAAGCTGGCATCCTGGGACACCCATCATGGGCACTGCTGGCCAGGTGAGCAGAGAGGGCAGTGGCTACAGGGGCTCAGCTGAGCTGGAAGGAGCCAGGACGGGCCAGGATCACAGGGCTTTGACTTACAAGTCTTGGACTTGAGTCCTAGCAGGTGGCCTCACTCATTCCCAGAAGGGAGAGTTCCCTCCTGTGTTGTGGGGGAAACAGAGGGAAGGAGGCAGGACAGAGAACTTGTCACATTGCCTGCAGGCTGTGCAGGGTCCTCACCCGAGCCCAGCCCCAGCAGCTGGCTCTGGACGATGGTGCAGCCCAGCAGGGGGGATCAGGGCCTGCCACTGGCTCACTGCCTGGCCTGTGCCTCGGTAGGACCAAGATGCCTCAGGTGTCTCCCCACTGCACCTGGCTGCCCGCTTCGGACACCCGGTCCTGGTGGAGTGGCTGCTCCAAGAGGGCCACTCGGCCACGCTGGAGACGCTAGAGGGGGCCTTGCCACTGCACCACGCCGCCGTCAGTGGGGACCTGACCTGCCTGAAGCTCCTGGCGGCCGCCCATAGCAGGTGAGGAGCTGAAACCCCTCTGTGGGGCAGCATGGGAGAGGAGGACGTGCCGTGGCCTTTGAGGTGGGCTCTGCAGGGCAGGCACACTGTCACCGTCCCCACGTGGGCAAGTCTGGAGCCAGACGGTGGGCAGAGTGGGGCTGAGGCTCTGAGTGGGGTTCAGGAAGGGACTTTCCCTGCAGGCTGTGGGCAGTGCCAATGCTAGGCCAGGTGCCTCGGGCAATGCGGGTATGTGGCACGGGCACTGAAGGGGGCAGTGAGAACAGCTAGGAGGCTGCTGAGATGCTGGGGACGGCTCCCAGCCCTGCCTGGGCACCTCAGGGCCAATAGCCGGGAAAGTGGGCATGCTGGCGATGTGTGGGCACCTACAGTCTCCTGGGGGAGCAGAGGTTGTGGCATGGGCTTGGGCGCACTGAGGCCCCAGTACATTGGCCTGGATTTGCTGCCCTCTGCACGGTCCTGGCCCCTGCACTGGAAGACCCCTGAGCTGGGGGCTGCTCCCGTCGTCTCAGAGGCCCCATGTCCACCCACCAGAGCTGGTAGATGGGGAAGAGGGAGGGCCAGAGACAGGGACTAGCCAGCCGAGGCAGGTGGCAGCAGGACTTCCCTTCCTCAACTGGCTCCTTGCCCTGCACAAAGGGCCACTGTTGTCATAGTAACAGGCCCTTCACCTCCTGGCCATCATGTGTCCCGGGCTCGTCCCGGCGGAGCAGCTTGGTGTCCACCTGCTGCCTTTCTCCCCAGGAGCCTGCAGTCTCTGACCAGACCTCCTGTTTGGATGTCTCTTGTCCCGGCCACCCACGTTTATTCTGGGACAAGCCCCGACAGCTCCGTTGTAGAGTAGTGTCCTTATTCCTGGGTCTTCCCATCTGGACCACTCGGCAAAGGCAAAGGGATTCGCTTCTGCAGCTCTTCCCACACACCCCAGGCCTGGCGGCCACGGTGTCTCTTAAACCTCGCAGCTTTTAAAGTAGTTTCCGCCATTGAAAACTGGGAGACTTCACTTTAACACGTGTGCACGCACACACACACAAGCACGGTACACGTGCACACGCGCACACGTGCGTACATACATACATGTGCACACACGTGTTCTCACACACACAGATGAGAAGGTCCCGTGCCCCTGGCCCACATTCCCACATGGCACTGACTGCAGGAGCTGAGAGGGGGCTGCTCCAGACCTGCTGGCTGCATCACCCACCCCCTGGTGGCCACTGCGCTGGACACCTGCCTGGTCTAATCCTAGTTCAGGTCAAGGACCCCGGCACAGTCTGGTGCAAGCACGGACCCTCCCCTCAGGAGCGGCACCAAGGTGCACAGACGGCCCTTTGGGTTACATTCCACAAGGAAGTGGACTCTTTGGCTCTGTGGGTCCAGGGCACAGAGGAGCCCCTGCGTGGGTAGAGCACACGTGGTGTGGGTCCGAGTCCAGGGGCCACCCACCAGGGCCCTGTGTCCACCTTACTAGCAACAGGGGACAGCAGGAGGCTGGCCTTAGCACGGACTTCATGGGAGGTGAGGCTCAAACCAAGGCACAGGCCCTTGGGCCAATCATTGTGCTCTGGGCCTCAGTTTCCCCTTCTGCCAGCTGAGACCTGTGGCTGGACTCTCCATAAGAAGTGGGGGTGGGGGCAGTTGTAGGGCCTGGTGAGAGCGTGTCCTTGCTGACCAGCCTCCCCCACCCGAGACACAGCCAGCCCGAGGGCCCTGGAGGTGGAGGGTGTGGGACAGGGCGCAGGGCTTGGTCAGCAGCCTCAGAGGACAAGCAGGCTGAGCCAGGAGAGCTGAGGAGCGGATGCCAGAGGCTTCCTGCCCAGCTCATCACGGCCACCACTGAGGGAGCAGTGGCATTCAGACACCACCAGCCACAGAGGGGCTCAAATGCAGAGGGAAACGCTTGCGGGAGCTGGGGGTCATTTGTGTGTTTCCACGGGTACGACTGAGAATTCAGAATCAAATCCAAGAAAGATTGATGTTTGTAGCCTGGACCCAGAAGTCAGAAGGAAAGGAAGACACGTAGGGACGGGGTGCACAGCCACTGGGGAGCCCAGCCAGGGGCGGCAGCTGGAAGGAATTTGGGAAACTCAGTCCCTAAAGGGCAGGGGTCAGGGGTCAGCAGTGACGTCTGTGTCGCCAGGGGATGGGGTCAGCCTTGGATAGGGACCATGTCCCCCTGCAGCTGGTCACTGGGGATGCAGGACTCACCTGGGCCCAACAGCAACCTGAGGGTAGACTGGGATTTGGTCCATCCTGCCTGGGCACTGGAATTCGGGTGCCAGTCCTGAGTGCCCACGGCTGCTGTCCCACTCACAAGGTCCTTTT